ATCTTGAAACATCCTTTGTGATGATGAATGCCACGCCATTCCTCTTCAATTTGTCATTCCCGGCATAGTAGATCTTATGGTTGTCTAATTCAGAATGCCCAAAATCGGTCCATATCAGCTCACTAATGCCTAGGATATCAATCTTTATGTGTTCCATTTCATTTTTGACAACTTCAGTTTTCCTAGATTCATACTTCATATATTCCATGTTCCAATTACTAATGGATGTTTGCAGCTGTTTCTCCTCAATTTGAGTCATGCCATGTCAGCACATGGAGGTCCTGAAAGACTTACTTTATCCATATCATTAAGGTAGGCTCTACTCTGATGATACAGCTCTTTCCTAGTCCTATTTTGAGTGCTTCCAACCCATGGGGCTCGTCTTCCTGCACTGTGTTGAAGTGTTTCTGAGCTATTCATAAAATTGGCCAGTAATGTATCAGACAGTGTTTCTCTGCTATTCATAAGCTTTTCGCTGGCCAATTTTTGAGAAATGGATGGCTTCCTCCTTCTTCCTAGTCTATCTTAGTCTATAAACTATGTTGAAACCTGTGCACTATGTGCAACTCTGATGGCGTCTGAAACACCAGTGACACAGCCTCAAGCCTCACAGCAACGTACAAGCCCCACAGGATGACAAGCTGACAGACAAGTTTGTCTCCCTTTGCTGTTGGAAACCTCTGCACCCTCCCCTTACCTGATTCCTACTGGAACCTGCCACTTGTGGTCCCCAGCCATTCTTTCCCTTTCCTGGCTCTAGGGGGCTTGGGTTCTAGCCTTGCCTCCCTCCCCTTTACCTGGATCCTGCCGCTCCAGAGGTCCCAGGCCTCTCCTACTTCCCCCCTTTCCTGGCTCTAGGGCGCCTGGGGCCTAGCCTTGCTTCCCAGCCCTTTATACCTGGATATCCTGCCACTCCACAGGTCCTCAACCTCTCCTGTTCCCTCCCTTTCCCAGCTCTAGGGGGCTTGGAGCCTAGATGGAAAGTATGTGTGTGGACATATGTGAGAATAGTTATAAAGCATATACAAGAAGAGTGAGTGCCTTTGTATCTAAAATGCTAAGCATACTTATTTTATCATTTTTGCATTTTCTTTCAGAAGCCAGATACACCACAGACCTCAGGCACTTTTGTCCCTGTTGCTAATGAACTAAAACGAAAGGACAAATACATGAACATCCTCTTTTCCTGTCATGTCCGTAAGGTAAGATAAGCTTGAAACAGACCACCTTGAAAAGAAAAGACGGATTCAGATGAAACTCACTTAGGAATGCCTGTAATGAAACATAACACTAGGTACATAACTAGCTACATCATCAGCCTGTTGTAACACACTGTTGGAATGGCTAAAGGGACATTTAGAATTAGGCTATAAAGTCTTCCTAAAGGCAGTGCATTTTTTTTGGTAATTATTTCTTTATAAAAAAGGGGGGAAGGACATAGTTTGGAGAAGAGGAAAATGACATACTAAGATTTGAAGATGACAAAGAAAGAGGTTCTGTGCTATGACTACATTTGCTTGTCTGAGAAGAACATGTGAGTCATTGTTTACCTGCAGGCGATAGCTCTCAGACAAGTGGAAAAGGAGAACCCAAGGTACTAGGTTAAAAAAAAAAAGAAAAAAAACCTTAATACACATGATTAGAAAAATCGGAAACTGAAATAATGATAAAAGAGCATTTTGTAAAATTATGAAAGTAAATATTAACACGGTAATAAAATGGAAGCAATATTGATATAAATAATAATAAAGACTAGAGTAAAAATTAATGAAATAGAGGATAAATAATAGAAAAAAATCAGAGAAACCAAGTTGATTCTTTGAAAAGCAACCAAAAGGACAAACCTTTAGCTAGACTGACCAAATATTATCACAGAAGAGGAAGATTAAAATTCATCCTTGTGTTATGTTGTTGTTAGGTGCCATTGAGTTGGCTGCAGCACTTAGTGACCTGTGTACAACAGAATGAAACACTGCCCCGTCTTGTGCCGTACTCAGTCATTGCTGTGCTTGGGCCCGGTGTTGCAGCCACTGTGTCAGTCCATCTCATTGAAGATCTTCCTCTTTTTTGCTGACCCTCTACTTTACCAAGCATGATGTCCTTCTTCAGGGACTAGTCCCTCTTGATAACATGTCCAAGTACATGAGAAAAAGTCTCACCATCTTCACTTCTAAGAAGCATTCTGACTGTACTTCTTCCAAGACAGATTTGTTCTTCCGGCAGTCCATGGTATATTCAGTATTCTTCAAATGCCCCAATTCTTCCCCAGTCTTCATTATTCATTGTCCAGCTTTCACATGCGTATGAGGTAATTTAAAAGACCGTGACTTGAGTCAGGCTCACTTTAGTCCTTAAGGTGATATCTTTGCTCTTTAACAGTTTGAAGAGGTCTTTTGCAGCAGATTTGCTCCATGCAGTCCTTCATTTGATTTCTTTACTGCTGCTTCCTTGGGTGTTGATTATAGATCCAAGTAAAATGAAATCCTTGACAGCTTCAACATTTCCTGTTTATCATAATGTTGCTTATTGGTCCAGTTGGGAGGATTTTTATTTTCTTTATGTTGAGGTATAATGCATACTGAAGGCTGTAGTCTCCGACCTTTGTGTCATCTGCATATTGCAGGTTGTTAATGAGCCTTTCTCCAATCGTGGTGCTGCATACATCTTCAGATAATACTGCTTCATCCATGTATTGCCCAAAAACTCTTATCCATGTTTGAACATGATAAGAAAGAAGAGTTCAACTCTATGTATTATAGACATTTAAAAAAAAGAGAGCAGGCTGTTTTAAAGTAAGAATGAAATAAATGCCATCAAGGAGAGCTTGCTGGCAGTGTCTTGGTATGGTCCAAAGTCTAATTGAGCTTCTAGATCCAGATACTCTATCTTATAAGTGTTACCGAGGGTTGATGAGACAGTTAGGAGATGGCTTTTGATAATCAAATAGACACAGTCACACATAAAAATGTATAAATAAAAATAAATAATGCCAGTTTGTGACTGTAACAGAGAAATGTACCATTTCAATGAATCTTCATACCCACTGTCTAGGATACCTCCTTGCTAGTATCAAGGTGTCTGGGAAGTCAAAGTAGTAATCAGAACAATTGATCAGAGAGGGTTGGGTGGTGTTGAGAATTGTGTCCGCTACTGTAGCTCTGGTAGCGTAGTGCCTAAAGCACTTGACTGCTGACCAGAAGGCTGGCAGTTCAAACCTACCAGCCACTCCTTGGAAGGAAGATGGGGCAATCTACTTCCGTAGTGATACTGCCTCGGAAACCCAAGGAGGGGTCGCTATGAGTTGGGTCCGACTTGACGGCACATAACAACAACATAACAACTGTAGAAATACCTTGTGTCTCTGGGCATCTTTCCTGTAATTGCAGTTTTATATCTGATAGGCAGCATGTCTTTCCCTGAGTCCTGCTGGATAAAAATGGAAAAATTCTTATTCATTCTCTGTATTTCTAAGTTCACTGCAAAATCATCTTTCTTCACACTGTAGTTTAAATAATACCTTCTTTAGAAACCTTTCAATCCTAAGGATATACCAAAGTAAATGTGGTATGATTTTAGTAAAGCCTTTATGCTTTGATTCGTTTTGAAACATTCACTTTCCACTAACCCCAGTTATAAAATGTCTCCAAAGGTGGGAGATTTCTGCAAATAGATACTCTCACTATTGTGAGTTTTCTCCTGGATTACCTCTCTAGGGAAGCTTCATCTCTGGTTCCCTGTGGTACTGACTGAACCTATAAATAGATTACTGGAAGTGTTCAGGCAAAAGCAAAATGGTAGGAATTTTTTTTTTAGGTAAGGACTTCAGCTTTGAATAATAGAAGAGACGAGATGAGATATTTTCCAATAGTGAGTCTGTGATCCACTTTTTCTATTACTTTAAGAATTTGCATGGAAGAAAAATAGTCTTGCTGTGTCATAATTATTCTCATTAAGCAAGGATTTAGGAATTTATGTATCCACATAGAATTTTATTTCCCAATTTGATTTACCTTGAAGCTTTTACTTTATTACATGATGTCCTTCCTACTCACTTGTTTCATATTTTAAGGATAATTTGAGTGGCTGAGACAGAAGATAAAGATTTGTGAGGTATTTTCTTTACAGATTGCATTTTTGCATTAAAAAGAAAGTATTATTTCTAAACAAAGCTTCAATAAAATTGCTGCTTTGAGGTTTTTGTTTGTTGTTTTCCAGATTGATTCATGGACATTATTATAGAAAGGACAATACTCTCTACTTTACCACTGAGGTCTACTGGTTTTGACTCTAGACCTTGTCAAATTTGCAAAAAGTTTTTTGTTTTGTTGTTTTGTTAATTGTGATTTGGGTGAAAGTTTACAGAGCAAATTAGTTTTCTACCCAACTACCCATACATGTTCTGCTTTGTGGTATTGACTGTAATCCCCACACTGTTACAGCATTCTTCCTACTTCCTCCCCACACTCACTCGTTCCCCTCATCCTTCCTTTCCATCCCCTCCTACCTTCCAAGCTCTATTCCTGGGCAAATGTTGTCCTCTTGATCTCCTATGCTTGATCGTTTTAACGAGTGCATACTCTCCTGATATTGCTGTTCACCTGTCGGCTTGTCTATCATTTGGCTGACAGTTCAGTTCCAAACTTGAAGGGTGTCTAAGGGCCATAGTCTTAGGGGTTCCACCAGTCTTCATCAGACCAGGAAGACTAGTCTTTTTTATGATTTTGAGTTTTGTGCCACGTGTTCTCCCACTCTGAGACCTCTTACTGTGATCCCTTTCAGAGCTGTCAGCAGTGGTAGCCAGGAACCATCTACTTCTTCTGCTCTCAGGGTCATGGAGACTGGTGTTCGTTCATGTGTTCCATTAGTCCTTTGGACTAATTGTTTCCTACATCCTTGATTTTCTTCACTCTTCTTTGCTCTGGACAAGGAGAGACCAGTAGTTGTACCTTAGATGATTGCTCACAAACTTTTAAGACCCTAGTCCCTATTCATCAAAGTAGAATGTAGAACATTGGCTTTGTGGACTGTGTTTTGCCAGTTGAACTTAGTGTCCCCCAAGACCATGGTCCTGAGCCTCCATGCCCAACGACTCATTCCTTCAAAGTATTTGGTTATGACTAAGATGTTTTCATAAGCAACAAGTTGTTTTGTTTTGCTTTTTGGTGGTTTTTTGTTTTTTGTTTTTGTTTTTTTAATCCCCTTATTTAGTCTGATTTTCTTCATATCATTGTATGAAATGATTTTCATTTATTTTCTGAGCTGTCTCACCCCCATAGTCTAGTCACAGCTTCTTATTATTACCAAGGTGTTATGTTATTCCTTTGTATATCATTAAACCCATTCCTGTCAAGTCAATTCTGACTCAGAGCAACCCTCTAGGACAGAGTGGAACTGCCCCATAGGGTTTCCAAGGCTGTAGTCCTCATGGAAGCAGACGGCCACATCTTTCTCCCATGGAGCAGCTGGTAGATTCAAACCACCAACCTTTCAGTTAGCAGCCATGTGCTTAACCACTGTGCCACCAGAGCTCCACTGCGTGTCATTAACACCATGTAAAGTGATCAAAAATGTACCTTGTAAACGGGGAAAAAAATCCATTATCATTTCATTTGAGCTCATGCTTACTAGCGCAAATTTTAAAAATTAACAGGAGTCATGTGCTGAATAAAAAATTAAGAAATTCAAGCCCATTTTAAAATTCTAATCATAGGAAGAAACTTTTCTCAATGAAATCATGATTCTAAAGATCTTATAAAGGTAGCTACTAGCAAGTAATACGGTGTTGCAAATACATGCACAGCTATGTGTCTTCTGGATCCAAGCACAGTCCTGGAGTGATGACTGATGGGGAAGGTCTTGCTTTCCAGGAACTGAAGTGGGAAATTAAATTAACTCATGGCGAAACACCTTATGAGATTGAAGAAAATGTGCAAACAAATTTCAACTATTATAACCTGGAGAATAAATAATTCCAAAGCAACAATCAGTATGCTTCTCAACAATTACGTTCAGAAGCTTTTCATTAGAGGGATAAGCTGACTAATAAAAGGACCTCCCATCTTGGATATAAAGAACAAGAAGTCCACAGCTCTTCTTTCTGCAGTGCAGAGATGAAGCTTTTCCAAGGTCAAACTAGGCAGTGGAGACTTGAGAAGCCATTGAGAGCTACGCTGTCATCTGGCACTTGGGAAACTGTTTTCTT